TAGCAGAGGGCCTGGGGAAGGCGGAGCCAAACCTCATCTCCTTCCATTCCTCTTCCTCAATGGACGGATCGCTGGGGACCGCCCACCTCGCCATGGTGACACGAGTTCCAACTCCTCCCCCTGTACCTCCAAAATCAGACGCAGTGAGTCTCCACCCCCCTCCTCTCTCCCCCTCCTCTCTCCCTGCATTCAGACACTCGTGGTAGAAATGTGCCAAAACATCGGCCATAGAGACAGCAGAAGCAGTGGAAAATAGAACATTGCCACCAGAAAATGTTGGAGTTTTAGATTGGTTTAAGCTCTTCCAGATGTGATGGGGAAGAGCTGAGCCATTAAGAGGTGAGACATTATTAGTACACGTTTACTTGCGGAAGCGAATTTTGACGCTAGTCTAGTATGGGAATGCAAGTTTACTTACTATCTCCTTCGGACCCTTTAGAAAACTGTTTATATGTTGACCCACTAACTCCTTGAGACTCTATATAATCTAGTCTCTATGTTGACCCACCAACTCCTTCAGACTCTATAGAAACCAGTATTTATGTTAACCAAACATCTCCTTCAGACTCTAGAGAAATCTGTCTATATGTTGACCCAACACCTCCTTTAGACTCTATAGAAAACAGTCTTTATATTGACCCACCAACTCCTTCAGACTCTATAGAGTCCTACCTTCATGTTGACCCATCATCTCCTTCAGACTCTATAGAGTCCTACCTTCATGTTGACCCATCATCTCCTTCAGACTCTATAGAGTCCTACCTTCATGTTGACCCATCATCTCCTTCAGACTCTATAGAGTCCTACCTTCATGTTGACCCATCATCTCCTTCAGACTCTATAGAGTCCTACCTTCATGTTGACCCATCATCTCCTTCAGACTCTATAGAGTCCTACCTTCATGTTGACCCATCATCTCCTTCAGACTCTATAGAGTCCTACCTTCATGTTGACCCATCAATCTCCTTCAGACTCTATAGAGTCCTACCTTCATGTTGACCCATCATCTCCTTCAGACTCTATAGAGTCCTACCTTCATGTTGACCCATCATCTCCTTCAGACTCTATAGAGTCCTACCTTCATGTTGACCCATCATCTCCTTCAGACTCTATAGAGTCCTACCTTCATGTTGACCCATCATCTCCTTCAGACTCTATAGAGTCCTACCTTCATGTTGACCCATCATCTCCTTCAGACTCTATAGAGTCCTACCTTCATGTTGACCCATCATCTCCTTCAGACTCTATAGAGTCCTACCTTCATGTTGACCCATCATCTCCTTCAGACTCTATAGAGTCCTACCTTCATGTTGACACATCATCTCCTTCAGACTCTATAGAGTCCTACCTTCATGTTGACCCATCATCTCCTTCACTCTATAGAGTCCTACCTTCATGTTGACCCATCATCTCCTTCACTCTATAGAGTCCTACCTTCATGTTGACCCATCATCTCCTTCAGACTCTATAGAGTCCTACCTTCATGTTGACCCATCATCTCCTTCAGACTCTATAGAGTCCTACCTTCATGTTGACCCATCATCTCCTTCAGACTCTATAGAGTCTTACCTTCATGTTGACCCATCATCTCCTTCACTCTATAGAGTCCTACCTTCATGTTGACCCATCATCTCCTTCACTCTATAGAGTCCTACCTTCATGTTGACCCATCATCTCCATTTTTATTTCACCTTTATTTAACCAGGTAAGAAGCCAGTTGAGACCAAGTTCTCATTTACAACTGGGACCTGGCCAAGATAAAGCAAAGCAGTGCGATAAAAACAACAACAACACAGCGTTACATATGGGGTAAACAAAACGTACAGTCAATAACACAATAGAACATCTATATACAGTGTGTGCAAATGTAGTAAGTTATGGAGGTAAGGCAATAAATAGGCCATGGTGCAACATAATTATAATTTAGTATTAACACTGGAATGATAGATGTGCAGAAGATGATGTGCAAATAGAGATACTGGGGTGCAATTGAGCAAAATAAATAACAATATGGTGATGAGGTAGTTGGGTGGGCTAATTACAGATGGGCTGTGTACAGGTGCAGTGATCGGTAAGCTGCTCTGACAACTGATGCTTAAAGTTAGTGAGGGAGATAAGAGTCTCCAGCTTCAGAGATGTTTGCAGTTCGTTCCAGTCATTTGCAGCAGAGAACTGGAAGGAATGGCGACCAAAGGAGGTGTTGGCTTTGGGGATGACCAGTGAGATATACCTGCTGGAACGCATACTACGGGTGGGTGTTGCTATGGTGACCAATGAGCTAAGATAAGGCGGGGATTTGCCTAGAAGTGATTTATAGATGACCTGGAGCCAGTGGGTTTGGCGACGAATATGTAGTGAGGGCCAGCCAACAAGAGCATACAGGTCACAATGGTGGGTAGTATATGGGGCTTTGGTGACAAAACGGATGGCACTGTGATAGACTACATCCAATTTGCTGAGTAGAGTGTTGGAGGCTATTTTGTAAATGACATCGCCAAAGTCAAGGATTGGCAGGATAGTCAGTTTTACGAGGGCATGTTTAGCAGCATGAGTGAAGGAGGCTTTGTTGGGAAATAGGAAGCCGATTCTAGATTTAACTTTGGATTGGAGATGCTTAATATGAGTCTGGAAGGAGAGTTTACGGTCTAACCAGACACCTAGGTATTTGTAGTTGTCCACATATTCTAAGTCAGACCCGCCGAGAGTAGTGATTCTAGTCGGGCAGGCGGATGCAAGCAGCGTTCGATTGAAGAGCATGCATTTAGTTTTACTAGTGTTTAAGAGCAGTTGGAGGCCACGGAAGGAGTGTTGTATGGCATTGAAGCCCATTTGGAGGTTTGTTAACACAGTGTCCAATAAAGGGACAGATGTATACAAAATGGTGTCGTCTGCGTAGAGGTGGATCTGAGAGTCACCAGCAGCAAGAGCGACATCATTGATATACACAGAGAAAAGAGTCGGCCTGATAATTGAACCCTGTGGCACCCCCATAGAGACTGCCATAGGTCCAGACAACAGGCCCTCCGATTTGACACATTGAACTCTATCTGAGAAGTAGTTGGTGAACCAGGCGAGGCAGTCATTTGAGAAACCAAGGCTATTTAGTCTGCCAATAAGAATGCGGTGGTTGACAGAGTCGAAAGCCTTGGCCAGGTCAATGAAGATGGCTGCACAGTACTGTCTTTTATCAATCGCGGTTATTATATCGTTTAGGACCTTGAGCGTGGCTGAGGTACACCCATGACCAGCTCGTAAAACAGATTGCATAGCGGAGAAGGTACGGTGGGATTCGAAATGGTCGGTGATGATGTTTGTTAATTTGGCTTTCAAATACTTTCGAAAGGCAGGGCAGGATGGATATAGGTCTGTAACAGTTTGGATCTAGAGTGTCACCCCTTTTGAAGAAGGGGATGACCGCAGCAGCTTTCCAATCTCTGGGGATCTCAGACTATACGAAAGAGAGGTTGAACAGGCTGGTAGTAGGGGTTGCGACAATTTCGGCAGCTAATTTTAGAAAGAAAGGGTCCAGATTGTCTAGCCCAGCTGATCTGTAGGGGTCCAGATTTTACAGCTCTTTCAGAACATTAGCTATCTGAATTTGGGTGAAGGAGAAGCAGGGGAGGGGGGCATGGGCATGTTGCAGCGGAGGGTGCAGAGTTGGTGGCCGGGGTAGGGGTAGCCAGGTGGAAAGCATGGCCAGCCGTAGCAAAATGATTGTTGAAATTTTCGATTATCGTAGATTTATCGGTGGTGACAGTGTTTCCTAGCCTCAGTGCAGTGGGCAGCTGGGAGGAGGTGCTCTTATTCCCCATGGACTTTACAGTGTCCCACAACTTTTTGGAGTTAGTGCTACAGGATGCACATTTCTGTTTAAAAAAGTTAGCCTTTGCTTTCCTAACTGCTTGTGTATATCGGTTCCTGACTTCCCTGAAAAGTTGCATATCGCGGGGGCTGCTCGATGCTAATGCAGTACGCCACAGGATGTTTTTGTGATGGTCAAGGGCAGTCAAGTCTGGGGTGAAACAGGGGCTATATCTGTTCTTAGATCTGAATTTTTTGATTGGGGAATGCTTATTTAAGATGGAGAGAACACTTTTAAAGAACAACCAGGCATCCTCTACTGATGAAGGTCAATATCCATCCAGGATAACCGGGCCAGGTCAATTAGAAAGGCCTGCTCACTGAAGTGTTTTAGGGAGCGTTTGACAGTGATGAAGGGTGGTCGTTTGACCGCGGACCGATTACGGACGCAGGCAATGAGGCAGTGATCACTGAGAACCTGGTTGAAGACAGCGGAGGTGTATTTAGAGGGTAAATTAGTCAGGATGATATCTATGAGGGTGCCCATGTTAACGGATTTAGGGTTGTACCTGGTAGGTTCCTTGATAATTTGTGTGAGATTGAGGGCATCTAGTCTAGATTGTAGGATGGCCGGGGTGTTAAGCATATTCCAGTTTAGGTGACCAAGCAATATGAACTCTGAGGATAGATGGGGGGCAATCAATTCACATATGGTGTCCAGGGCACAGCTGGGGGCTGAGGGGGGTCTGTAGCAAGCGGCAACAGTGAGAGACTTATTTCTGGAAAGGTGGATTTTTAGAAGTAGAAGCTCAAACTGTTTGGGCACAGACCTGTCACGCCCTGGCTCTGGGGACTCTGAAATGTTGAGCCAGGGTGTGGATTTTCTATGTTTAGTTTCACGGGGTAGCTTCTATGTTGTGTTTTCTATGTTTTGGGTTTTGTTCTAGATCATATAGATCTATGTTGGTCAGGGTGGTTCCCAATCAGAGGCAGCTGTTGCTCGTTGTCTCTGATTGGGAGCCATACTTAGGTAGGCTGTTTTCAGCTATTCTTTGTGGGATCTTGTTCTGATTTGGTTTGTGTTATACCGTAGACGTCACGTTATCGTTGTTGTTTTGATCGTGTGATCATTCTAAATAAATAATATGTTCACCTTCAACGCTGCGCCTTGGTCAGCTTCATCATGTGTCAACGATCGTGACAAGACCTGGATAGTATGATAGAGCTCTGCAGGCTATCTCTACAGTAGATTGCAACCCCACCCCCTTTGGCAGTTCTATCGAGACGGAAAATGTTGTAGTTGGGGATGGACATTTCTGAATCTTTGGTGGCCTTCCTAAGCCAGGATTCAGACACTGCTAGAACATCAGGGTTGGCGGAGTGTGCTAACGCAGTGAATAACTCAAACTTAGGGAGGAGGCTTCTGATGTTAACATGCAAGAAACCAAGGCTTTTGCGGTTACAGATGTCAACAAATGATAGCGCCTGGGGAGCAGGAGTAATACTGGGGGCTACAGGGCCTGGGTTAACCTCTACATCACCAGAGGAACAGAGGAGGAGTAGAATAAGGATGCGGCTAAAGGCTTTAAGAACTGGTCTTCTAGTGCGTTGGGTACAGAGAAAAAAATGGGCAGGTTTCCGGGCGTTGTAGAATAGATTCAGGGCATTATGTACAGACAAGGATATCGAAGGACATGAGTACAGTGGAGGGAAACCTAAGCGTTGGGTAACAATGAAAGAGATAGCATCACTGGAGGTACCGATTGAGCCAGTCTCCGCGTGTATGGGGGGTGGGACGAAGGAGCTATCTGAGGCAGGTTGAGCGGGACTGGGGGCTCTACAGTGAAATAGTACTATAAGAACTAACCCAAACAGCAATAGGCAAGGCATATTGACATGGGAGAGAGGCATAACGCAATCACAGGTGCTATTCGAGAGAGCTAAGACAACAGCTGGTAATGGTGACGAAAGATTGAGCTGAGGCTAAACAGATAAAAAGGATGGCGTACCGTATAAAGGAACAGTCCAGCAAGCATCAGCTGTGTAGCTGAGTGATCATAAGGTCCAGTGAACAGCAATAGGTTAGTCCGGGAGCAGTTCAGTGGCTGCTAAAGCACAGGCGAGCAGGAGGCACAGCTGTTGATTGCGTTTGCTAGCGGGCCGGGGCTAGCAGATGGATCTTCATGGTCGTCACAACGGGAAGCCTGTTGAAACCACATCAGACGATTATGTCGGCAGACCAGTCGTGATGGATCGGCGGGGCGTCGTGTCAACACCAGGAGGTCCCGTCCGGTTGACAGAGAGGTAGATAGCCGGAAGATGGGCCTGGCTCGAGGCTAGCTCAAGGCTAACTGGGGTTAGCTTCAGGACAGTGGTGATTAGCCAACAATGACAACAGCCATTCGGTTGCAGCTAGCTAGTTGCGATGGTCCGGCGTTAAGGTCCAGTGATTCCGGCAGAAAAACCGGTATGCTCTGGGTCGATAGCGCGATGTGCAGACTGGCCGATAATTGTCCAGGCTAGAGCTGGCTGGTAGGTAGTGCAGGCCAAGGACAGTGGTGAAGACCGCTAACGGTGGCTAATAGCAAGTAGCTAGTTAGCTGGCTAGTTTCAGCCGTAGGTTCTTGATAAAAAGGTATAAGAAATAATAGAATCCGTTCCACATTGGGTGAGGCGGGTTGCAGGAAAGTATATTTAGTTAAAGGATGGAAAGTGAGATTGAGAAATATATATGAAAAATACAAAAAAAACTAAAAAAACTGGCTATCTACAGAAAACACGACCGCACTGCTATGCCATCTTGGATATCTTTCAGCCTCTAGAGAATCCAGTCTTTAAGTTGACCCACCAACTCCTTCAGACTCTATAGAATCAGTCTCTATGTTGACCAACCAGCTCCTTCGGACTATATAGAAAACATACTTCATGTTGACCCACCATCTCATTCATATTCTATAAAAAACACTCTATGTTGACCCACCATCTTGTTTACACTCTATAGACCACAGTCTCTATGTTGACCCACCATCTCCTTTACACTCTATAGAAACCAGTCTCTATGTTGACCCACCATCTTGTTTACACTCTATAGACCACAGTCTCTATGTTGACCCACCATCTCCTTTACACTCTATAGAACACAGTCTCTATGTTGACCCACCATCTCCTTTACACTCTATAGAACACAGTCTCTATGTTGACCCACCATCTCCTTTACACTCTATAGAAACCAGTCTCTATGTTGACCCACCATCTTGTTTACACTCTATAGACCACAGTCTCTATGTTGACCCACCATCTCCTTTACACTCTATAGAACACAGTCTCTATGTTGACCCACCATCTCCTTTACACTCTATAGAACACCAGTCTCTATGTTGACCCACCATCTCCTTCAGACTCTATAGAACACAGTCTCTATGTTGACCCTCCAGCTCCTTTAGCACTCGTATCGAACCCAGTCTACCTTCCTGTTTGACCCACCATCTCCTTTACACTCTATAGAACACGTTCCTCTATGTTTGACCCACCATCTCCTTTACACTCTATAGACCACCACAGTTCTCTATGTTGACACCCCCATCTCCTTTACACTCTTATAGAACACAGTCTCTCTGGTTGACCCACCATCTCCTTTACACCTCTATAGACCACAGTCTCTCTGTTGGACCCACCAATCTCCTTTTTACACATCTATAGAAACACAGTCCTCTCATGTTGATCCACCAGCTCCTTTACACTCCTATAGACCACAGGTCTCTATGTTGACCCACCATCTCCTTTACCCTCTATAGAAACAGTCTCTATGTTGGCACCCCACCATCCTCCGTTACACTCTATAGAACCAAGTCTCTATGTTTGACCCACCATCTCCTTTATTCCACTCTATAAACACAGTCCTCTATGTTGACCCCCCAGCTCCTTTACACTCTATAGACCACAGTCTCTATGTTGCCCCACCATCCTCCTTACACTCTATAGAACACAGTCTCGATGTGACCCACCATCCCTTTACACTCTATATAAACATTCCTATGTTGCCCACCATCTCCTTCAGACTCGTAGAACACAGTCTCTATGTTGACCACCATCTCCTTTACACTCTATAGAAAACAGTCTGCTATGTTGACCCACCATCTCCTTTACACTCTATAGGACACATCTCTATGTTCCCCCACCCCTTTTAACTCTATAAAACACATCTCTATTTTGACCAAGCCTTAGACAAAAAAACCAAAAACCCACATCTCCTTAACTCATAGAACACAGTCTCTATGTTACCCACCATCTCCTTTACACCTATAGAACACAGCCCTCTATGTTGACCCACCATCCCCTTTTAACCTCATAGAACAGTCTTTATGTTGAAAACCAGCTCCTTCAGCTATAAAACTCCTTATGTTGAACCCACCATCTCCTTCACCTCTATAGAAACCATTCTCTATGTTACCCACCATCCCCTTTTACCTCTATAGAACCAGTCTCTATGTTGACCCCCATCTCCCACCTTTTTACCACTCTATGACACATCTCTTATTTGAACCCCCTCTTCTTTTACACCATCCCACTCTTAGAACCACCTTTACCCCATCTCCTCACCTCTATAGAAACATTCTCTATTTTCCACCATCTCCTTACACTCTATAAAAACCCAGCCCTTATGTTGACCCACCATCTCCTTCCCATAAAAAAACCGTCTCTATTGCCAAACCATCTCCTTACCTTTAAAACACTGTTGACCACATCTCTTTTACCCACCAGTCTTGAACCATTATCCTCACCTTAGAACCATCTTTTTACCCACCATCCTTTCACCTTTTTACCACTCAGTAAACCCCACCTTACTCTTATTGTTGACCCACCATCTCCTTTACCCCCATAGAACACAGTCTCTATGTTGACCCCCATCTCCTTCAGACTCTATAAACACAGTCTCTATTTTTACCCACCATCTCCTTTACACCCCTAAGAACACAGCCCTTATGTTGACCCACCATCCCCTTTACCTCTATAGAAAAAGTCTTTATGTTGAAAAACCATTCCTTAACTCTATGAACAGTTTTAGTTGACACCATTCCTTTACCTCAAATAAACCATCTTATTTGCCCCCCCACCATCTCCTTACCTTATAAACCAGTCTCATGTTGACCCCTCCCACCAAACGCCATTGCCCCCAGCTCTTCACCTCTATAAACCTCCTAGTTGACCCACCATCCCTTTACACTCTATAAACCACATCTCATGTTGACCCACCATCTCCTTACCTCTATAGAAACCAGTCTCTATGTTGACCCACCATCTCCTTCACTCTATAGAAACAGTCTCTATGTTGACCCACCATCTCCTTCACCTCTATAAAAAACCAGTCCTTTGTTGACCCCATCTCCTACCTCTATAGAACAGTTCTATGTTGCCCCCAAATCTCCTTCACCTTACCTCTATAAAACCTTTTTTTTTTTCCCCTTTTCCCCACCTCCTTTCCTTATAAACAGTCTCTATGTTGACCCACCATCTCCTTACCCTTATAAAAACGTCTTATGTTGACCCCCACTCCTTAAACTTAAAAGTCCTATTTTGCCCACCATCTCCTTCCTCTTAGAACAAGTCTCTATGTTGACCCCCATCTCCTTTCCCTCTATAGAAAACCAGTCTTTATGTTGGACCCACCATCTCCTTTACATCTTAACACATCTTAGGTACCCCCCTCCCTTCACCTAAACACTCTCTATTTAAACCTTTCCTTACACTCTATAAACCATCTCTTTACCACTCCCCTATAGAACAAGTCTTATGTTAAAAACATTCTTCCACTTATAAAATCATCTTTATGTTGACCCACCATCTCCTTCCTCTTAGAAAACCAGTCTCTATGTTGACCCACCATCTCCTTTCACTCTATAAACAAGCTCTATGTTGACCCACCACCCTTTCCCCCACCTTCTCCCTTTTGAACCAGTCTCTATGTTGACCCACCACCCCTTTTAACTCTTAGAACCAGTCCTGTTGACCCCCATCTCCTTACCTCTATAGAAACCATCTCTATGTTGACCCCCCATCTCCTTTACCTCTATAGAAACCAGTCTCTATGTTGACCCCACCCTCCCTTTAAACATCTTAGGAACCCCCTCTTTACCCCACCATCCTTATTTGACACCATTCTCACTTCTATGAAACCATTCCTTTTACCCACCATCTCCTTCACCTTTGACCCACCTCTTCCTTTTCCTCCCCTTTATAGAAACCGTTTTTAGTGACCCACCTTTCCCCTTTTCACCTCTTAGAAACCAGTCCTTTTGACCCCCCCCTTCCCTTTTAAAACCATCTTTTTACCCCATCTCCTTTAATAAACACCCTTTGGACCCACCATCTCCTTAAACTCTATAAACACATCTCTATTTTGGGACCCCCTTTCCTTTCCTTTATAACACATCTCTATGTTGACCCATCTCCTTACCTCATCCATTCTCTTTTCCCCAAACTCCTTCATTTTAAAACTCTCTTTTTAACTCTTTTCCTCTTACACCACCTATTCCCCCATCTCCTTTACCTTATAGCCCAAAGTCTCTATTTTGACCCACCATCTCCTTCACTCTATAGAAAACTCTCTATGTTGACCCACCATCTCCTTCACTCTATAGAACACAGTCTCTATGTTGACCCACCATCTCCTCCCCTCTAAGAAACCATTTCTTTATGTTGCCCCCACCATCTCCTTTCACCTTTTAAGAAACCGTCTTATGTTGACCCCCATCTCCTTAAAACCTCTATAGAAACCATTTTCTATTTGACCCACCACTCCTTAAACCTCTATAACCTCCTTTAAATGTTGACCCCCCTTTCCCTTTTACACCTCTATAGAAACCAGTCTTTATGTTGACCCCCATCTCTTTACACTCTATAGAACACAGTCTCTATGGTTGACCCCCATCTCCTTAAACCTCTATAGACCAACAGTCTCTATTTTAAACCCCACCATCTCCTTACCTCTATAAAACACATCTCTATGTTGACCCCCATCTCCTTACCTCTATAGAACCAGTCTCTATGTTGACCCCACCATCTCCTTCACCTCTATAGAACAGTCTTAGGGAAACCACCCCTTTTACTTATAAAACAGTCTTTATTTGACCCCCATCTCCTTCACCTCTATAGAAACCAGCCTTTATGTTGACCCAACCATCTCCTTCACCTCTATAGAACCAGTCTCTATGTGTGACCCCCACCAATCTCCTTCCCTCTATAGAAACCAAGTCTCTATGTGACCCACCATCTCCTTCACCATATAAAACCAGTCTTATGTTGACCCACCATCTCCTTCACCTCTATAGAACCAGTCTCTATGTTGACCCACCATGCTCCTTCACCTCTATAGAAACCAGTCTCTATGTTACCCACCATCTCCTTCACCTCTATAGAAACCAGTCTCATGTTGACCCACCATGCTTCTTCACCCTCTATAGAAACCAGTACTCTATGTTGACCCACCATCTCCTTCACCTCTATAGAAACCAGTCTCTATGTTGACCCACCACTTCCTTTCACTCTATAGAACACAGTCTCTATGTTGACCCACCATCTCCTTCACCTCTATAGAAACCAGTCTCTATGTTGACCCACCATCTCCTTCACCTCTATAGAAACACAGTCTCTATTTGACCCACCAATCTCCTTCACCTCTATAGAAACCAGTCTCTATGTTGACCCACCAATCTCCTTTACACCTCTATAGAAACACAGTCTCTATTTTGGGCCCCCATTTTCCTTTACCTCTATAAAAACACAGTCTCTATGTTGACCCACCATCTCCTTAAACCTCATAAAAACATTTTTTTATGTTGAAAACCACTCCTTAACTTTAGAACAGTCTTTATGTTGACCCACCACTCCTTAAACCTCTATAGAAACCAGTCTCTATGTGACCCCACCATCTCCTTCCTATAGACACATCTTATGTTGACCCCCATCTCCTTTCACCTCAAAAAACCCCATCTCTATGTTGACCCACCATCTCCTTCACTCTAAGAAACCAGTCTCTATGTTCCCCCACCACCCCTCCCTCTATAGAAACCAGTCTCTAGTTGACCCACCACTCCTTTCACTCTATAGAAACAGCCTCTATGTTGACCCCACCTCCTTACCTCTATAAAAACCAGTCTCTAGTGACCCACCACCCCTTACCTCTTTTAACCACTTATGTTGACCCCATCCCTTTCACCCTATAAACATCTTTAGTTGACCCACCATCCTTTCCCTCTAAAAAACCCAGTCTCTATGTTGACCACCATCCCCTTTTACCTCTATAGAAACAGTCTCTATGTTGACCCCCATCCCCTTTTACCTCTATAGAAACCAGTCTTTATGTTGACCCACCATCTCCTTCACCTCTATAGAACCTTATGTTGACCACTCCTTAAACCTTATAGAACAGTTTTTAAATGTTGACCCACCATCTCCCTTTCACTCTATAGAAACCAGTCCTCTATGTTGACCCACCTCCCCTTCACCTTTTAAAAACCAGTCTCTATGTTGACCCACCATCTCCTTCACCTCTATAGAAACCAGTCTCTATGGTTGACCCACCATCCCCTTTCACCTCTATAGAAACCAGTCTCTATGTTACCCACCATTCCTTACCTCTAAAAACAGTCTCTATGTTGACCCACCACTCCTTACCCTATAGAACCAGTCTCTATGTTGACCCACCATCTCCCCCACCTCTATGAAACCAGTCTCTATGTTGACCCCACCTTTCCCTTACCTCTATAGAAACCAGTCTTATTTGACCCACCATCTCCTTCACCTCTAGAAACCGTCTTATGTTGACCCACCATCTCCTTCCCTAATAAAAAACAGTCTCTATGTTGCCCCACCATCTCCTTACCTCTATAAAAACCATCTCTATGTTACCCACCATCTCTCCTTCACCTCTATAGAAACCAGTCTTTATGTTGACCCACCATCTCCTTCACCTCTATAAAAACCCAGCTCTATGTTCCCTCCCCCTTCACCTCTATAGAAACCATTCTTATGTTGACCCACCATCTCCTTTACACTCTATAAACACAGTCTTATTTTGACCCACCATCTCCTTCACCTCTATAGAAACCAGTCTCTATGTTGCCCACCACTCCTTCCCTCTATAAAACCAGTCTTTATGTTTGACCCACCATCCCCTTTCACCTCTATAAAAACCATTCCTATGTTGAACCCCCTTTCCCCTCTATAAAACAGTCTCTTATGTTGACCCCCCCTTCCTTTAACCTCTATAGAACCAGTCTTTATGTTGACCCCACCTTCCCTTCACACTCTATGCCCCACCTCTTTGTACCCAGCCTTCTCTATGTCCCCCTTCCTTTACCCCCATCACCTCTATAAAACCCACCTCTATTACCCAAGCCACTCTAGGGAACCACCTATTTTACCCATTCCCCTTCTTTTGAAACCCTTTTTGACCAACCCCCTTTACCCTCTTTAGGACCCCATTCTCTTTCACCCATCCCCACTCTAGGGACCCTTTCTTTTACCCAAAACCATCCTTTCACCCATCTCTACATCTTTTGAACCATCTTTTTGACCCCATCCCCTTTCCCCCTTTTCCCTTTCCTCTTATACCCCCCTCTTACCTCTATAAAACCATCTTTTTACCCAAAACCTCCTCTTTAGAACCATCCTCTTTTAAACCATCTTTACCCATCCCCCAAACCAGTCTATGTTGACCCACCATCTCCTTCCCTCTAAAAAACCGTCTTTATTTTGACCCCCCATCTCCTCTTCACCTCTATAGAAACCAGTCTTTATGTTGACCCACCACTCCTTAAACTTATAGTCCTTTCATGTTGCCCACCAGCCCCTTTATACTCTATAAACACTTCTATGTTGACCCACCATCTCCTTTACACTCTATAAACACAGTCTCTATGTTGACCCACCATCTCCTTACACTCTATAGAAACCATCTTATGTTGACCCACATCTCCTTCACCTCTATAAAACATCTCTATGTTAAACCCCAAATTTTCCCTTTACATTTTTTATTAACCCCATTCCTCACCTCTTAAAACCCACTTTATTAAACCACATCTCTTTACCCATAAACCATTTTCTATGAACACATCTTTTTAACACCTCTATAAAACCATTTATTTGACCCACATCTCTTTCACCTCTATAGAAACCATCTTATGTTAACCCACCACTCTCACTCTTAAAACCTCTTTAGAACCACTTTTCACCCATCCTCTATAGACCACTTATTACCCCATAAACCTTTTTTAAAGTAACCCCTTTTTACCCAAAACCCTTATTAACCACCCCTTTATATAAAACCCCATCTCTTTTCCCACCCTCTTAAACTCTAATATGCCACCTTAATTTGAACCATCCCCTTTACCAACCTTTCCTTTGAACCATCTCCTTTACCCCATACACCTCTTTTTGACCACCATCCCCTTTAAACACTCAAACCACTCTATTTGAACCATCCTTTAACCTATAAAACCACCTCTCTTTACCTTTTTAAATTAGAACCAGTCTCTTTTTGACCCACCATCTCCTTCACTCTATAGAACACAGTCTTTATTTGACCCCCAACTCCTTCACCTCTATAGAAACCCACCCCTCTTTGACCCATAAACCTTCCTCTATGAACCAGCCCTTTATTTAAATCCACTTAAATTTAACCATCTTTTTACCCCACCCACCTCTATGAACCCACTCTTTTAACCAAAACCCTCTCTATGAACCCACCATTGCCCCTTTTCCCCCCTCTATAGAAACCAGTCTTTTTTTGGCCCCAAACCATCCCTTCACCTCTATAGAAACCAGTCTTTATTTGACCCCCCATCTCCTCCCCTCTATAAACCATCTCTATGTTGACCCCCATCCTCCCTTTAAAAGGGGTTTTTTTTCCCACCTCCTTCACCTCTTAAAAACCATTATGTCCCCCCACCCCTTTTACCTCTATATAAACCTCTTTTTTTTCCCACCTCCCTTCACCTCTAAAAACCAGTCTCTATTTGACCCCCCTTCCCCTTAACCTCTATAGAACAAGTCTCTATGTTGACCCACCATCTCCTTTAACCTCTTAAACCGTCTCATGTTGACCCACCATCCCTTTACACTCTATAACCCATTCTCTATTTGACCCCATCTCCTTCAGACTCTATAGACCACAGTCCTTATTGACCCACCACTCCTTCA